TGCTTCTCCCTCTCCCACTCCCCCTGCTTGTGTTCCCTCTCTCGCTGTGTCTCTCTCTGCCAAAAAAATAAATAAAATCTTTAAAAAAAAAAAAACAATATAGCTTAGTCAAAGCTAATAAAAAAGGTGAAAAGCTTAAAACTGTGTGTCCATTAGATTCATCATGAGCAAACACACACCATGTATAAATCTACTTCCCCCTCCTCACACCCACATGCCTTCTCTACCTTCTGCTCTCTACCTGGCTCTGACTCTTTTTATTGTCCTGCTGGTCTACCTGAATCGCCTAAGGCTCAATAGGCCCTTAAAGTCAGACAACTGGAAACCTTAAAACAGACTTGAAACCACTGTCTGGGTCAGAATTCAGAGCTATCAATGACTATCCTAACGTTTTACTGAGAAACTTAGAATAGTCATATGAATTTATAATTCTCGACTACCAGGCTTGTATTGACTAGTTCACACACTGGTGGACTCCTCAGATGTCACATCTTGGATGAAAAAAGACTCACTAGGATGAGACCACAGAGAATGTTAGGAACCCTGAATTTCTTAGGACAGTCAATGGGGTCAGCAAGGCTATCAGAATAGAAGACACTCTCCTAAAGATCACATCAGACACATTCCCTGTAAAGATTGACTAGGCTCTTCCTCAGTTTCATAAACAAGGCAAAGACGAAAGTATGGTCAATTCAAAGACAGATTATCAAGCAACACTTAGCATAGATGCTGGGGTCAATTTCAGTATAGACCTGTTTTTACTGTTTTTCAATGAATGAAAACCTTAATAGGATATTTGACTAGCAAAAGCAAGTTAGAGTGGAAATAACTCCCTTCCCTCAACTACAGCACTCAGAAGAATACTTTTAGAGGGAAAGAGACCAAACCCAGAATAAAACTCAGAATAATAAACTGAAGGTTTTCCAACTTAAACAATGACACGTTTCAGGCACCTGGGTGGCTCAGCATTCTGGGATCAAGCCCTCCATCAGGCTCCCTGGTCGCTGGGGAACCTGCTTCTTCTCCCTTTGCCTCTCTCCCCCACTCATGTGTGTGCTCTCTCTTCTCTCTCTCTCTCTCTCTGCACTCTCTCGCTCTCAAATAAATAAATAAATAAAATCTTTAAAAAAATAAAAATAAACAATGACATGTTTCCCACGGAAATAATTGCTAGAACCATAAACAAGGAGATTCCCAGGAAAGTGCGCTTGCAGATACTGCAAGCAAAAGGGGGGGATGGGAAAAATAATTATCCTGTATTAGCCATGAAATAAAAAGAGAAAATTAAGATGCCCAAACAGAGAAACAAGCATCCAATTCCCTGTTGTACCTTTAAGTTCACATGGAAACATTTATCTAAATATAAAGGACAAAATGCAAATTTGATTGATGTGGATATTAGGTTCAGTAGGGTCCTCAAAAAATTCATGTCTACCCTGAGATTGTGAATGTGATCTTATTTGGAAACCAGGCCTTTGCAGTTGTAATGAAGTAAACATGAGGCCATGCCGGAATAGAGTGGGCCCTATAAAAACTGATGTCTTTATAAGAGGGCCATATGAAGACACTGAAGATATCTAGGGAGAATCCCATGTAACAACAGAGTCAGAGATTAGGGTGGTGCTTCTATAACCCAAAGGGATGCCAAGAATTGCTGACAACCACCAAAGCCTAGGAAGAGGCAAGAAATGATTCTTCTCTAGAGTCTTCATGGCCCTGTCAGTGCCCTGCTCTTAGACTTTAAGCCTCCAGAACTGAAAGAATATTTTGTTTGTTTGTTTTAAGCTACCCAGTCTGTGGCAGTTTGTTATGGCAAACACAGGAAATGAATACAATATGGATACTACCAAACAACAGTGAATGTACCACTAACAGAGGTAGAGGCCAGCCCACCAATCCCCAAATCCTATGTCCAAACACATAGTTTTCACTTTTAGACTTTAACAGAAGGACATTCCTCCTTCCTTTGTGGTACCTCATCTCCTCATTTAAGAGAGAAACACTCACTATGCCAATGGAATTGCCAGATGAAATGACCTTCCAGAAATTTCCTCTTGAAATTCTGAAGATTCCCCTATTTATAATCAGATTAAAATTAATTTAGACATTAACTTACCACTGCCCTTATGTTTAAATTAACCCCAGATTGAGGAACTCTGTACTGCTTTAGGACAAAGAATTCCATTGACATTAGGAGAATTATTGGAGCTGAAGTCATTAAGTTACAGACTGAGCCATGTAACTTGAAATTTCATGGTACCCTCACCGACCAGAAATTAAAACATAAAGCCCTGTAATGCAAATTATGATAGAAAGAAAATTTGTCATGCCTTACAGAAGTCTGATAGAGAAATCCAATAGACAAAGCTATTGATTCATCCAGGACTTTGGAGGCATAAATACAGTCATACCTTATTTTTCTGTGGTATTAAACCCCAATACCATCCTATCCTTAATGCTACCT